CCCTTCCCACTGAGCCAGAGGTGCCGCCCAGAGTACCCAGTTTAAACTGAGTACACCTGGCCTCTTCAACCTGCCACATAACTGTGAAAAAGGTAAAACTAATTGCCTATGAAACTCAAGTGAGGAATACAGGGAAATGTATATGATGTGCAGAACAGGCTGAACAGGATTATTTAAGAGCACTTTATATCTCAAAGCACTTTACAGGTATTATCTAATATGATACTTCCACAGCCATCTTAGAGATGAGTCATATGATAATGCCTTACCAAGTCTGTTTCCCTATGGGCACCTAGGTCTCTGCCCACAAATCCAGAAATCTCTCCCCAAGCAGAAACCTAGCTTCAACTCCAGGTTTGCTACAACTTTGCTAAGTGATATATCTATACACAAGAAAAATATGAAGAAAGCTATATGGCTGGGCATGGTGGCTCATGTCTGTAATTCCAGCACTCTGGGAGGCCAAGGTAGGCAGACTGCCTGAGCTCACAAGTTCAAGACCAGCCTGAGCTAGAGCAAGATTCCACCTCTAAAAATAGCTGGGCATTGTGGCAGGCAGCTGTAATCCCAGCTACTCGGGAGGCTGAGGCAAGAGGATTGCTTGAGCTCAAGAGTTTGAGGTTGCTGTGAGCTGTGACAACACAACACTCTACTGAGGGTGACAAACTGAGACTTGGTCTCAAAAATAAACAACCCTCCCAAAAGTTATACTATTCAGATGAATTAGGTAAATTTGAAAAGAATAGTTTTAAAAGATAAAGATAGTAACAAAGCATCCATGAGCTATGATGTCACTGCACTCTAGCTCAGTGAGATCCTGTATAAAAAAAAAAAAGAAAAAAAAAAGGAAAAGGAAAAACTTAGCACTTGGAGAATAGTCCTAAATAATGCCTTACCTTTGTAAAGTGCTTAGTAGTTTACAAAGCAACTTTACATATACAGTGTTATCTCTTGGTGTTGACCTACCTATGAAGTAGGTAGAACAAATAATTATTATTCCCACTCTATAAAATTTAATGACTTACCTAAAGTTAAGGGAATAGTAGTTTCGCTGGCATTAAAAGCCAGGTCTTTGTCTTTCAGTTCAGTGCTTATTTCAGCATTGCTAAGTGACCAGGATGGAGGACTTAGTGGTTTTCCAGTGTGTGACAGTAAACAACATTCTCCTCTTTGACTTAGCATTCATAGCAGAGTTAACAGTCTTCAGTCAAGAGGGAGACTCCAGGGAGTAGCCCATTGATAACTTATGGGGCTCTAAAAATATAAAACATTCTAAAAGTAATTAAACTGTAACAAGGGGGTTATCCAAGATCAACTCTTTATTTTTTGAGAGTCTTGCTTTGTTGCCCTCAGTAGAGTGCCCTGGCATCCTATCTCACAGCAACCTCAAACTCTTAGGCTCAAGCGATTCTTTGCCTCAGCCTCCCAAGTAGCTGGGACTACTTTTGCTATTTTTAGATATGGGGTCTTTCTATTGCTCAGGCTGGTCTTGAACCCATGAGCTCAGGCAATCCACCCACCTTGGCCTCCCAGAGTGCTGGGATTACAGGTGTTAGCCACTGTGCCCAGCCAAGACCAACTCTTTATTAGGTAAAGTATTTCAACACTGACTTTGAACAGAAAGAACTTTCCTATGGGTTTATGCTCTTACAGGACAACTCCAAAAAGTCAAGGTGGCACTCTGAGATTTTGACAATCAGTTTAATATATGTCCACAGGTAATTCATATGAATGCTTAAATTACAAAATTAGCTGCCATGGTCCGGATGTATGGGACTTTAAGAAAGCTTTTATTACTTAAAAGATAACTAAACATATCAACTTTGACTTCTAGAATATATTTTAAATGTCTATAAAACAAGGCTAATTCCAGAATTATATAGCATTAAAGTAACAAAATTTTGTTATTTTTATTTTAATAACTTAATTTCATGAACTGTTAAAAAAACATTACATTTGTATCATCTCTCAGTTTATACATTTCTGTATTAACCTAGAGAAAAACCCATGTGAAAAGTTTCCATGCAGTTAAAAGGCAGCAGCACATGCTGTTTTCACAGCAACTTCTTGTTATTGCCTCAGAACAGACCTGCACATAAAGCAATCAACAAAATATACCCACCCACCCCACTCCCACCAGAAAACCCAACCCTTTCCCATCCCCAGCAAAAATTACCTGGTACAAGCAATGACCTAAAAAATGCTTTCTTAGTAGGAAGCATTTATAAAATGCAGAGATCTGTACAAGCTAAATGCTTGTGCAGATAGATGGGCCTCTCCCCCGAGAATATTCCCCTCACAAGGCAGAAAGACTCTCAATAATTTGGGAAAGCTCATTTTTTGAAGTATACTTATGCATATTCATGGCTATTTCTTCGAAAGAACACACCCAGCTTCAACTATAGAAGAGATAAAAGCAGAGGGAGAAGCAAAGGTACATAGCCATAGCACAGAGAATAGAGCTTCTCCATGAACATCCAATAGATTGCAGCGACCCAGAAGGAAAATGTAAGACTTCACACAGATCAATGATCTAACTGTGAACTAATCTAAGTGAAGTGTTAACTTTTCATGCATATGTTACTCAAGAAAAATAAACATACAACCATTTAAAATGAAAGCATTCACACTGTCATTAGCTCATGGTATCAGGTAAGGAGAAAACTGTGCTCCTGTACTATCTATCCCTAGAATTATTCATGTAGTATCTTAATACTTACAGATTTCCTATCATACTGTCATCAGCACCTCCCATCCATGAAACATACACTGCATTGAGTCCCTAAAATTTCATTACTACATATAGTGTTCTAAATTTTATGTTTTTACAAGTTTAATGTAGACACAGAAAAAAACACCAAGCAATGTTTATTGTGCAATTCCAATAGCTATTTGTGGAATCTTTTAGAGTAAGTCTTCATAGCCATTTCAACTGCCTAGTTTAAACAAAAAGGAACAATCTACCTATAAGTTTCATGATACTTCTTCAAACACTGAAGTACTAAAAGCACTGCTGATTCACGTTATAATTTTAAAAATATGTTAAAACTACAGATTTCACTATCATTCCTTTTATAAAATAATCAAAATAATTTGATTATCCAGAAGAAAATTACTGAAACAGAGACTTTTTCAATCTACAAACCCTGTAAAACTCCAAACCAAAAGCAGAGTAGAAGATGAATTAAAGATTTCTCAGTTGGCTGGGAGTGTCTGAAATTTAAGGAGAGAAATGGACTGGTGTTCTTTGCATCCTGTGACTTCAGAGCTGACAGGTGGCATCAAAACTCAAGTCTCTGGGATGACTTTACATGGCTTTTACTTTGATTTGTTTCATCTTCATTTGCTTCTTCTCTAACTTCTTTTGCTCACGCCTCAAAGCAGCTTCCTAGAGAAAGAGGCCAAGGGAGCAGGGGAGAGAAAGAACCCAAACTAAGCTCCAAGTTCATGTTAAACCAATCAAAACTAAAATACTGCCTACAGTATTATTCAAAAACTTAGGCTTGGTCCCAGCACAGTGGCTCACGCTTGTAATCCTAGCACTTGGGAAGATGAGGCGGGTAGATTGCCTGAGCTTACAGGTTCGAGACCAGCCTGAGCCAGAGCAAGACCTCATCTTGATAAATAGCCGGGCATTGTGGCAGGCGCCTGTAGTTCCAGCTGCTTGGGAGGCTGAGGCAAGAGAATCGCTTAAGCCCAAGAGTTTCCACACTATGAAATATATACATTAAACACATAGAGAACCAGATGAAGTGTTAACAATGGTTATCTTTAGGAGTGAGGGTTGTCTGTAGGATTATTATATTATTTTTATATCGTAACTACATGGTAATTAAGGCTAATTTTAACATTTGTGTATATGTTTCTTTATATTTTCTAAATTAAATATATCAGAAGATTAAACAAACAAAAAGCTACACTAGCAGTGGCAGGGAGGTCCTGCTCATTTGTATGGATGTGTCGTTCAAGTCAGAAATTGCCTATAGTTTTGTCTTTCTTCCCTTCCTTTTTTATTTATTTTAGAGATCTCATTCTGTCACCTAGGCTGCAGCATAGTGGTGAACTCGTAGCTCACTGCAACTCTGAACTCTTGGGCTCAAGTGATCCTCCTGCTTTAGCCTCCTGATAGCTGGTATTACAGGTGTGTACCACTGCACTAGGCTTATAGTGGTGGTTCTAAAAAAGTAAATGCTTTATGTCTACAGAAGATTAAAATCTGACTCAAGTTAAGTTTCAGGCTCCCCTTTTCCTTTAACTCATTGTAATTTAAAAGCTTAGAAATAATTTCCTTTTCATAGAAAAATAAAAGACATTCCGTATTAATGATTCCTTATAGATTATTCACATATATACATTAAAAAGCCATTTTTATTTATAAAGAAGACTATAGAAAGATAGAGATATATTTTCAGGGCAAATAGCCTATCACTAAACCAAACCAAATGAAACACAAACTGATGAGAAAGGGTAAGACTGCTCCATGGTATCCTCTGCACTTCACTGAGCAGCATTAAGGATTTTACTGGCAACGGCAGGGCCACATAGTAGCTTACATTTTCTTGGAAACATGCCCCCTTCACTTATGAAAGAATTTTCTTCAATCTTCTAATATTATTTCAATTAAAATTTATAACTTCTTCTTCTCTTTTCTTTTTTTTTTAGCAACAGAGTCTCACTTTATCACCCTCAGTAGGTGTCACAGCTCACAGCAACCTCCAATTCCTGGGCTTAGGTGATTCTCTTGCCTCGGCCTCCCAATTAGCTGGGACTACAGGCACCCACCACAACACCCCGCTATTTTTGTTGTTGTTGCAGTTTGGCCAGGGCTGGGTTTGAACCCAACACCCTGGATATGTGGGGCCGGCACTCTACCCACTGAGCCACAGGCGCTGCCCAAAATTTATATCTTCTAACACTTTACTCTTCTCTTTTTTTGGCCAGTATTTACAAAGTTTAAAATTATTTTGGAGGGGCCAGGCACAGTGGCTCATGCCTGTAATCCTAGCACTCTGGTAGGCTGAGGCAGATGGAATGCCTGAGCTCACAGGTTCAAGACCAGCCTGAGCTACAGTGAGACCCTGTCTCTAAAAATAGCTGGGTGTTGTGGTGGGCATTAGTAGTCCCTGCTACTCAGGAGGTTGAGGTAAGAAAATCTCTTGAGCTCAAGAGTTTTTTTTTTTTTTTTTTTTGGCCGGGGCTGGGTTTGAACCTGCCGCCTCTGGCAAATGGGGCCGGTGCCCTACCCTTTTGAGCCACAGGCGCCACCTGAGCCCAAGAGTTTGAGGTTGCTGTGAGCTATGACACCACAGAACTCTACCAAGGGCTACAAAATGAACTATGTCTCAAAAAAAAAAAAAAAAAAAAGAATTATTTTAGAACTGGCCTATAGCATCTTATGTCACAAAAATATTAAAACATGCTGATCTTTGAAAGATATACTACAGTCTAAAGCCTTTTAGGTTTAGGGCCTATAGTTACATAAAAAACAAGGATGAGTATGGTGGCATGTGCCTATAGTATTCCCTGCTAGTTGGGAAACCAAGGCAGGAGGATGGCCTAAGCCAGGAGTTTGAGGATATAGTGAGCTATGTATGATCATGCCATTGCAGTCTGGCTGAGGTGACAAAAAACAAAACAAAACAAAACTGTCTCAAAAAATACCAGGCCAGGCCTGGTGGCCTGTGCCTGTAATCCTAACACTCTGGGAGGCTGAGGTGAGTGAACTGCTTGAGCTCAGGAGTTCCAGACCAGCCTGAACAAGAGTGAGACCCCATCTCTAAAAAAATAGCTGGGCACTATGGCAGGCACCTGTAGTCCAAGCTACTTGGGAGGCTGAGGCAAGAAAATCACTTGAGCCTAAGAGTTTGAGGTTGCTGAAGGGAGGAGGGAAGGAGGGAGGGAGGGAGGGAGAGAGGGAGAGCAGAAGGGAGGGAAGGAAGGAAGGAAAGAAAGGAAAAAGGAAAGGAAAGGAAAGAGGAAAGGAAACCAACTAGGTAACAAAAATATAAACAAAAAATATTAGAATTCCCTAATCAAATTTTAAATCACATGTAACAGTTTTGTTTAGGTTATGGGGCACATGTGTGGGATTCTATTAAAATTCCTAATTTCTAGCAGGGCATAGTGGCTCATGACTGCAATCTTAGCACTTTGGGAGGCCAAGGCAGGTGGATTGCTTGAGCTCAAGAGTTGGAAACCAGCCTGACCAAAAACAGAAAAAGTAGGCAGGGGTTGTGGCAGGTGCTTGTAGTCCCAGCTACTCGGGAGGCTGAGGCAAGAAGATCACTTCATCCCAGGAGTTTGAGGTTGCTGTGAACTGCCATGTCATGGCACTCTACCCAGGGCAGTCTCAAAAGAAGAAGTCTGATTTCTTTCTACTGCAGTGTAATTTGGCTGGAAAGACAATAGTGGAACTTTCAAAATGAAATTGTGCTAGGGGAACAGGATAAGTCAGATCATTGTCTAGATTCATCGACTCCAACTGCATAGATTGAAAGATTATTTATACTTCATAGTACTATCAACTGATAGAATGTCTCAAATGCTGAGAATATGCTAAACTTTCAGCCTGTGTACATTCCTACACAGAATTACTTTAATAACAAAAATTACATGAACAGGCTCTTATAAAGCTCAGTTTTACCCCAGAGATAAGGAAAGTTTGTCTTACTTCCAGCCTGCGCTGTTTCTCAGGATCTTCCTCATTCATGATTCGCTCTTTCTCTGCTCTTTTCTTTTCTTCCCGCCGAGACTGTGCAGCTTCCTGTCTTTGCACATGTGTCAGCTTCAAGAAGTTCTCTTCTACACGAGCACGGTTCTTATCTGCTTTTTGTTTGCCCTTTTCCCAAGAAACAAAGTGTTCCATAAGAAATCCATTTCCACCCAACAGAAGCAAAATCCCATTTGGCCTTTACTTATTTATTTATTTTTTAATTTGTCTTTTTTTGAGGCAGAGCCTCAAGCTGTCGCCCTAGGTAGAGTGCCATGGCCTCACAGCTCATAGCAACCTCCAACTCCTGGGCTTAAGTGATTCTCTTGCTTCAGCCTCCCAAGTAGCTGGGACTACAGCCACCCGCCACAATACCCGGCTATATTTTGGTTGTAGTTGTCATTGTTGTTTGTAGGCCCGGGGTGGATTCAAACCCGCCAGCTCTGGTGTATGTGGCGGTGCCTTAGCTGCTTGAGCTATAGGCACCGAGCCACTGGCCTTTTATAAAAGTCTTCCCTTGGCTTCTTTGCCCCGGCAATGGAGGCCTGTTTGCTGTCTATGCGGTAGGTATCTTGCTCTGTGTTCCTATACCTTGCTATTGCTCTGTAAGCCTAAACCTTGCTCTTACTATGTAAATCTACCTTTCTCTTCTATTCTTTGCTCTATGTTTGCCTTAAAAAAAAAAAAAAAAGTATTCCCATTTGACATTTTCCAGTCATTTAGCAAAGATTCAATTATTGAAATCACTGATAGCTTTCTCACCCTACCACCTGAAAAAACAAAATAAAAGGTGCCAATTTATAATAAAAGCTTTGGGTCTTACTTCTCTGTTGAGTCGGAACTTTTTGGCTTTATCGATAGAGTAAATCACCATGTTCATCAGGGGTAGCAAAGCCTCCATATCCTTTGGGTAAGTGTTACCTGAGCCAGGTACTGGAAAACAAAGTCATTTTTCCTATGAATTAATGGCAGCATTAATAGTAATATTCTAACCATTTTTTTGTTAATAGGATATTTTCTCTGCCTCTTTTCTTAGGCAGTTGAAATGTAGCAGAAAACAGATATTAAAATATATGATATTTTACTATTAAATATTAACAGTAAAATTAGTAAATTTTAGTAAAATAGTAAAAAACTAAGTAATATTTTACTAAAATACTACTATAAACCCAGAAACTCTATGGGAATTAAGGGTGCTTAGTAACAGAAGTCAATGAGCAGACATAGGGTTAGTTTTAACATAGTTTTATGGCTCTCATTTAGATCATCTCTCAGAAAACTAAGAACCCAGACAGATCCCAGGATACTTACCATTAAATGTAAACAATAGTGTCCTCTTAGTGTCAGGTAGCTTCAAAGGCTGACCTTCCCTGTCATAAAACAAAAGGCTATTAAGAAGGAACACAAAAAAGATATTTTCCGTATATTCAAGTCAACAGATTCACTTGGTATTTGGCTTGGCAATCCCAAATCAAATATAATCTCAGAGCCTGAAGAAGGTTTACCGGTCATCTGCTCCACTTGCCTATCTGATGGATACATTCCCAAGTGATCTTTATCCTATACTTGAACACCTCCAGTGATGTTCCTTCCAGGCAAGGTATAAACCATGTCCACCTGGGGAGCCAAAAATGAGCCTATATTTAAATGTGAGGTCGATATTTTAAATAACATTTTTGCTTATTTTGATGGATTTATATGTTTTATTTCCAACTCCCATGCTATCTTCCTATAACAAAGCATCTTATTTTTGAGTTAGGCTCAGAAAAAATTTAGGGATAAGCCCAGTGTCTTGGCAGGTGCCGGTGGAGCCAGCAACTCGGGAGGCAGAGGTAAGAGGATCACCTGAGCCTGTGAGTTTGAGCTTGCTGTGAGCTATGATGCACAGGTACTCTAGCCTGGGACAACAGAGTGAGATTCTGCCTCAAAAAAAAAAAAAAAAGAAAAGAAAAATTGGGAATAGTATATATAATTTAGTTCTGTCACTGAAGATTCCTTTGTCATCTGTGACTATCGATCCTTTGACCTACTGCCCTTTTTTCCACAAACAAAAGGCTTGAGGAATGCCACAATGGAAACTTTGTCCCCAGTGTTGTCACTGAGTTGAGCAAGGCAAGGATGATGCTGCACTATCTAGAGGAGTAAATACTTGAGTAATCTTAACATATGACTAAAATCCATAGTGGCTTTTAAATGTATTCCACAGCCTATGAGAGGGTAGCCTTTAAAGCTGAAAATTTAGGTCACAACCCGTTCCACACCTAAGAATCATGTTAAATAAACATGCTTTCCGGACACAAGCTGTGAGTTCAAAGAACAAATCCAAGCCCAAAATATGTACACTTGAACAATATTACTATAAACCCAGAAACTCTATGGGAATTGAGGGTGTTTAGTAACATGCTAGGAAAGGATACAACCACCCAACTATTCAAAGAGAGAAGCCAGAAAAAGTCATCATAAGTTACAAAATACACAAATTTGCAATCAAATGCAAGTCAAACATCATAAATTAATATCAAAAAAGAAAAAAAAAAGAACCCAGACTACAAAGGAAAAAGAAATGAGCTATTGGATTTCTTAGCATCAGCCATTCTATATGATTCTCTTCTCCCTCATTGGGTGGTACAAACATGCAGGGACACACACAGCCTGGGGGAGGGCAGCTCATGTGTCTGTCTCATAATGGGCATTCAACAACCTCCCATGATGCATGCATTCAGAGAAAAAGAAAAGTTGGAGGCCTGTCACCAACTTCTCTCACTAATTTGATAGGGGAAATTATAGAAGCACCTTGCAGGTATTTCAACACAGAAAATGAGGGAGGAAAATTAGTGTTTTTATCTCATACGTACTCTTGCATAATTTTTGGACCAGAGAACTGGTCTGAAAAGTGAACGGATTCAATCTTGTCAGCATAGTGTGTAAGAAAGTGAACCATCTGAAAAAGAAAAATATTGAATTTTCAAAGTAGAGTTTGATGCATTTCCCTTTTTTCACAAAGATATTCACTCTTCTATCCTCCTTACTTTTACACAATGTCACTAAGACCAAAGCTTTTTAAAAATTAAATAAGGGAGCTGTACATAGCGGCTCACACTGTAATCCCAGCACTCTGGGAAGCTAAAGTGGATGGATTACCTGAGCTCACACGGGTTCGAGACCAGCCTGAGTAAGAGCAAGACTCTGTCTCTAAAAATTGTTGGGCATTGTGGCGGACACCTGTAGTCCCAGCTACTCAGGAGGCCAAGGCAAGAGAATCTCTTGAGCCCAAGAGTTGGAGGTTGCTGTGAGTTATGACACCATGGCATTCTACTGTGGGTGATAAAATGAGACTGTTTCAAAAAAAAAAATTAAATAAGGAATTTCTCTAAAATGAAACAAGTACCCTTCTTTAGTCATACCAATGATCAAAAAAAAAATTTTTTTTTGAGACAGAGTCTCTCACTCAGTCGCACTGGATTTGAATGCTGTGGAGTTATTGTTCACAGCAACCTCAAACTCTTTTTTTTTTTTTGAGACAGAGTCTCAAGCTATCCCCCTGGGTAGAGTGC